TGTGTTCTACCACAATCTTACCAGTACTAGATCGAGTTATATTTTACACATTATGTGTTCGATACTTATTTTTTTCTCAACTTTGATTCTGTTCAATTTTAAACATAGTAGTCCAGTCTTTTAACTTTAAGTACTAGGATGTGTGCATTAAGCAGACCTCGCTGGTAGGGGGCTCCCCAACCCTTGGAAACTTGATGCACTTCATGATGAACTATAGTTATATATGCTCATGTGATATTTGTTTTATTTCATGTATTGTTATTGTCATAACTTGTATCTTATTAAACATTATTTATATTAATCATGTTTGTCGAAATACAAGCACCTGAGAGCTTATGTTAATTACCCTATTCGACATTAGATAAAGCTTCTTATATCTTGTATCATGTAGTTTCTATCTTGTCGACTTTGCATACCCTTGTGTTGACGCTGTGTTATTACCTAATGTTTCACTTGATGTAGTCGTTCTTTTGCATTAAAGGAAATTTATCATTTAAGTCGAGTTGAAGGATGAAATGGTCCACGCTTCTAGTCATACAATGGGTAGCTGCCTGATGGATATTGTTAAACAAGCATTTACTTCACAGAGAAATATGCATGTAATCAAAAGATCAAAACGACGTAAAAAAGTAAAAATGAATCACATTGACACATTTCTAGATCACAGGAATCGAATGTGTTCAAATCGTTACACAAACTCTTTGGTATTATCGAGAGACCAAGGGGTGTGCTATTTCACCTGTAGTGGTTCACCTTACGGCTGTTGGTTCAACCTTACGGCTGTTGGTTCACCTTGTGGTTATGGGTTCTCATGTGTTTTTCGCGTAAATGACATTGACTCCATTTCCTTCCCAAGATCCATCAATCTAGGAGAGTATAAATAGTTGATATGTAGCTTGTTTTGATTATACGTTCTCAAATCTTCACAAATAAATAACACGGGCCAACTTTTAGTCACCGGAGTAAACTAAGCTAAAACATTTCAATAAAAACCAAACGTATCTTCATTAAAAATGAAGTAATGCTATTTGAATAGCCTGTCGCCTATCAATTTTTCAAAAATCGACCTTAACCCATTTAAAGGTCACATGTGTGAGATGCGTTTTCCAACAGTATTGAATAGAAGAGGATGGATACAGAGACCCTTGGGGATCCTGTTATGTGTATGTGTTAATTGTTTGCCATTGACAGTCCAGCTTATTAAAATAATAAAACTAGTTGGTTATTGTCGTTTTTCGTGTTGTTAGATGAAAGTTATGAAATCCCTTAAAATAGTTCAAGAACAATTTCTAGGTTGTTGTTTTTTTGCTTGTTCCATATGGTCCAAAAATGATTTATACAAATATTAATGCTTTTGTCCGTTGAATTATAATGATACTGCTGAAATCATACTTAGATAAAGTCAAAATCCGCTCTACTTGTGAATGAATATAAAACGATAAAGTTACATTAAAGACATGTGTACATGTATGTATTACCCCGCTCACTCTTGGTGATATACACACCTGGATCTGGTGACGGCTGTGACACAGCGGATGTTAGTTCCGACAAGATCTATAGTACTGACGTACACTGGCTGTGATAGAACACGGACTGGCAGCGCCATACCACAGTGGACCAGCGCTAGGCGGGGACGCACATACACTGGCTGTGATAGAACACGGACTGGCAGCGCCATCCCACAGTGGACCAGTGCTAGGCGAGGACGCACATACCACACTAGACCGGTGCTGAAGACGTAGCCATCATGTCTGACGACAAGCTAGTGGTGTTGGCGTACAGTGGTGGACTGGACACTTCGTGTATCCTTGTCTGGTTACTGGAGCAGGGCTACCGAGTGGTCGCCTTCCTGGTAAGATAATCCTCTTTACATCAATCTGACAAAATAGGTGTAGTATAATGTAATGTTGTTTGATAAATGTCTATCCATGATGTTTTAAGGCACGGGTCAAGGAAATAATATTTTGTGGGCTCTTCTTTATTTCCCTCAAAATAAAGTCTACTGGTACGGAACGGTTATCATAGCTTAAAACCAATGTTAATCATGGCTGTTGGTAAAACTTAACTTAAAATATTGTTGTTTATGTCTGAAAAGTGACATTTTATAACAGTACATTTGTGTTCACGCACGCCCTTAAATATAACAAGAAGTAAATACATTTGTTCTAAAAGTGTCATATTATCGAGACATCTGTAAGTAGAAGATTTAAGTACCAAGAATGATTAAACTCAATTAGTTGACTCGGGCTGCAGTGGGCAGTAGTTTTAATTAATGTTTAAGGCTGTAGTGCTGCTGATTGAACTCCTCAAACAATTATTAACAATAACAAATTGTAGGTACCTTTAACGATTATAATAAGGGCTGCTGTTGAAATCAAGACTCGAGGTCGTGAAATCGAGAGGTAACACAAATAACACGTTCATCTTGTGATATGTATTTAAATGAAGGCGATGTCCGCAGACGTATGAGGGACATTATGGGCCACTTTAAATGAAATCACACTGAAATGTCGTAATATAGACACTGTTACATTACAACCACCCGATTATAATCTTTTTTTACAACCGGCCAACCAGGAATATCAGAGACACAACGCCGAAAACTGAGTAGATAGAACAGGAAACAACAAGCTTTTCAAAAGCGTTGCGTTCAAAGTATGTGTACTGACGATCATACAGTGGGACAGAGCAGGCCAATAATATTTTTAACTTTTGTCTTTGCATAAAAATATGGTATACAGAAAGGCTACACGTTACATCGGTGTCTACATAACTCGCGGAAAAAAAAGATAATCGAACCGCTTTTGACGCAGTTCAACTCTGTTATACACCGATGTACAGGTGATGTATGCTAGTCTTCATTTACATATACCTGCAAATGTACGTCATTGTGTTACTATGTACTCTAAGAAGCATTGTAAATAATTACATACTAACCGCGATAACATCCCTTGACGTTTTGAATGGCTGGATGGGTGGTATATAAACACGGGACACCTACAAAACCCCTAAGGTCGTCCATACGTTTGTCGTTATGAATGGCCGGCTGGATGCTTTATGCTGTAGACCATCTAGTGTCGTTCATACATTTGTCCTGAATAGATTATTATTACATACTCACTAATAATAAATAATACAATTCAAATCGGAAATACATTTTCGATGAAATTGTCCAAACAAAACATTAAGTTCGGGAAAAGGTTAGCATGCCACTGTTACACGCATACAGAACTTCAATATACGCCATCCTGACATTACCATAACAACGACCTTCTACCAATAATCTACGATGTCAACTTTATACTTGAACAGCAACGATTAATAAAGTCTATCAAATCATCTTTGCTCACACAGTTTGTACTTCACAAAATGATTCTCTAGAACAAGTCAAAACGTCATCGTTGTTTTTTTGGCCTTGTTCATAACGTCAAGGGGGACATGGAAGTACAATCAATGTCACACTGAGATGGCAGATACATAAATTACATCACAATACAGTAAATACATGTGTTTTTATAAACTAGGTGCAAGACTATACTGTGTATTTATCAAGAACAAAATAGCAGTGGTCCTTATAAATGATTGTAATATAAATAAGGATTGGCCTTTATTTTGACGGCGTATACGGTAACAAGAACGCAGTTGGCAACTGCGTTAGCGCTCCATACAGATTATGTATGTTGCCAACTGCGTTCATACAACCGTATATGCCGTCATAAGAAGGTCAATCCATATATATTTGTATATCAAAACAATGTTTAATGCTACATGCGGTGAAGAAAACCAGTCAAAACGGGTTGCTACGATGGTAACTACGGCAGATTGCCGGGTAACTACGGTAGATTGCCGTTGTTGCTATGATAGTTTAGTTCCAATGAATCTGCGTCAATATATTAGTAAATTAAGAAAATAAACAGTGAACAGCACTTTTTTTTCGTCTTTTTATAGCTTTTGAATTAAGTCATACTAAGTGCAGTGAGTAGCTATTTGAAAATTGTATACATTTACAACGGTCGTAATGAAGGCTAATTGACACGCTTTGCTGGTGACGCTGTCGAATGTTTCAAAACGAATCCGCCATTGTTTTCTTAACTGTCAAAGAAATTTGAATGTGCATCCATGGAATAAGACGTTTGCCAGCATTAGTTTTTGTTATAATTGGTCATTATGGATCCCGTATCCATGTTTTAAGATGTTGAAGGAACCAAGCCATGGCTGTAATCGGACTGTTATCTCACTGAGGCTTTTTGAAACAAGTATCAATCCACCGAGTACTATATTATATAGTATCCTATTATACACGGGTTAATAAGAGAAACATATACAGGTTATTGTATCCTATTATACACGGGTTAATAAGTGGAACATATACATGTTATTGTATCCTACTACATACAGGTAAATAAGTTAAACATATACATGTTCTTATATCCTACTACATACAGGTAAATTAGTTAAACATATACAGGTTATTGTATCCTACTACACACAGGTAAATTAGTTAAACATATACAGGTGATTGTATCCTACTACATCCGGGTAAATTAGTTAAACATATACAGGTTATTGTAACCTACTACGTACAGGTAAATTAGTTAAACATATACAGGTTATTGTATCCTACTACACACAGGTAAATTAATTAAACATATACATGTCATTGTATCCTATTACATCCAGGTAAATTAGTGAAACATATACATGTTATTGTATCCTCCTACATCCAGGTAAATTAGTTAAACATATACATGTTATTGTATCCTACTACATCCCGGTAAATTAGTTAAACATATACATGTTATTGTATCCTACTACATCAAGGGAAATTAGATTAACATTTACATGTTATTGTATCCAACTACATCCAGGTAAATTTGATTAACATATACAGGTTATTGTAGCCTTCTACAATGTACATCCAAATAATTTAGTTAAACATATACATGTTATTGTATCCTGCTACATACAGGTAAATAAATGAAACATATACATGTTATTATATCCAACTACACAGAGGTAAATTAGTTAAACATATACATGTTATTGCATCCTACTACATCCGTGTAAATTAGTTAAACATATACAGGTTATTGTATCCTATTATACACGGGTTAATAAGTGAAACATATACAGGTTATTATATCCTACTAAACAAAGGTAAATTAGGTAAACATATACATGTTATTGTATCATACTATATCCAGGTAAATTAGTTAAACATATACAGGTTATTGTATTCTACTACACGCAGGTAATTTAGTTAAACATATACATGTCATTATATCCTATTACATCCAGGTAAATTAGTTAACGATATACATGTTAGTCTATCCTACTTCACAGTGGTAAATTAGAATTAGGTAAACATTTACATGCTATTGTATCCCACTACAAACAGGTAAATTAGGTAAACATATACATGTTATTGTATCCTACTATATCCAGGTAAATTAGTTAAACATATACATGTCATTGTATCCTACTACATACAGGTCAAATAGATAAACATATACATGTCATTATATCCTATTACATCCAGGTAAATTAGTTAACGATATACATGTTAGTCTATCCTACTTCACAGTGGTAAATTAGAATTAGTTAAACATATACATGTTATTGTATCCTACTACATCCAGGTAAATTAGTTAAACATATACAGGTTTTTGTATCCTACTACATACAGGTCAAATAGATAAACATATACACGTCATTGTATCCTATTACATACAGGTAAATTAGTTAAACATATACATGGTATTGTATCCTACTACATCCAGGTAAATTAGTTAAACATAAGCATGGTATTGTATCCTACTACATCCAGGTAAATTAGTTAAACATATACATGTTATTGTATCCTACTACACACAGGGAAATTAGATAAACATATATATGTTATTGTATCCTACTACAATCACGTAAATAAGTGAAACATATACATGTTATTGTATCCTACTACATGCAGGCAAATTAGTTAAACATATACATGTTATTGTATCCTACTACACACAGGGAAATTAGATAAACATATATATGTTATTGTATCCTACTACAATCACGTAAATAACTGAAACATATACATGTTATTGTATCCTGCTACATCCAGGTAAATAAGTGAAACATATACATGTTATTGTATCCTACTACATCCAGGTAAATTAGTTAAACATATACATGTTATTGTATCCTTCTACACAGAGGTAAATTAGATAAACATAAACATGTTATTGTATCCTACTACATACAGGTAAATAAGTGAATCATATACATGTTATTGTATCCTGCTACATCCAGGTAAATTAGTTAAACATATACATGTTATTGTATCCTGCTACACACAGGTAAATTAGATAAACATATACATGTTATTGTATCCTACTACACACAGGTAAGAGACACATATTCTTGTCATTGTTACATAGTCAAACATACACATACTATACACAGGTAAATTAGTTAAACATAAACGTGTCATTACAAGATTGCACACGTTTGCTACTGGGTTCGTTGGTTTTGTGTGATCATTTCTGAAGGAAACGACGATACTTTATGTTAAAAAACTACATGATGATCTATAATGGTAACTTGGTAGTAGTTATGCTGCTAATGTACGTGCATTTATTACATACTTACTAATAAATATGTGGTTTTTGTTTATGCGATACGACACAATAGCTTTAACCCATATCAGCCCTCGCCGTATCACACCCCAAAAGCCGTATCAGCCCCCGCCGTATCACACCCCAAAACACGTATCAGCCCGCAAAACCCGTATCACACCCCTTTTGGAAATTTATCGTTTTTCAATATTTCAAAACAGAAATTGATTATAAGATAATAGCTTTTATTAATAAGTATGTAATAAACAGAATAAAACATGCCTTTTTCCATATCACACCCAGTATCAACCCTCGACCAATATCAGCCCTCGGGACATGTATTACTCTCTATGTATCTTCTTATTATATCATGCATTCAATGATACATTTTGTTTTATGCAAGCATTGAAATATATATATTAAAATGAAACTTAATGACTGTATGTATGTGTTTATGTACATGGGATTGCTTGATGTGTTTACGATTACGAATAAAGGGTCACATTATCACTTCGTAAACCCGGTATATATGTATGTATTTTTCATTTTATTTGCTTACTAGTAGTACAGTACATCTCTTACAGAACATTGCTATATTTTGACCTTTTGTCAATATTGATTCTCTATCAGCGTACTCTTCCTCTTTCGTTTTTTTTTTGATAATGATGTTGTATATACGTTCCAATCTAACACCCCAAACCTGTCCCTATAACGTCCTGTACCGTAACTTATCTTCCTTCTCCCTGTCGCTCAGTTTGCCCTGTTACACACACACCACTTCGTGCACACTACCCTTTATTACTTGTTCGTTCTGGTGTAACTATCAGTCGTCTATCACTTTATCGTGCAGCACGAACTGGTGTCGCCAATAACAGTGTACATTCCTCAAAGTATGTAAGCTAAATGTTTAAATATACATCCATTTATATTTTATGCATGTGTATGCATCTCTTCCCTTGATCTTTGTCACCATTAAAACTCATCTTACCACTTTATAGTGTGGTAGACATACTCAGAATCGTATATATACATTATGCAATGATTTAGTGGCATCTGAAGTTATCTGATGACGTTGAATTAAATCCATGTCCCTTGTCTGCGAGCGCATCTGACTCGTTCCTGTTTTCAAATATCAGCAACCACCTTGGTACCGATAAACATTATGCATTTGTTCATCTTAATGTCCAAAGCCTAACACAAAAACTCGACATTCTATATACTTAATCATGTAGCTTTACAATATTATCCTTCACTGAGACATGGCTTAGTACTTATGATTTTTCTACTGACCTTACCTTGCCTGGCTATGCCGACCCGTTTTGTTACTGTAGGCCCGATAGATTAGGCGGTGGTATATCTGTTTATGTCAAAGACGATATCTCCGCAAAAATAGGAGCATATTTAGAGTTACCTACCATTGAATGTATGTGGTTAGAAATAGTCCTTAGATTTGAGAAAATCTTATATGGCACCTTCTATAGACCTCTCTCGTTATCATGTGGTCTCATATTTCAAAATATATTGAACTTGCTTATAATACTGGTACAGTGTATATATAATATTGTGATAATAGGTGACTTTAATGCTAATCTACTAGTTGATAATCAGTGTTCTCACTTACACGACATATTTATTACCTTTAACTTGTAGATTCCCCAGCTTTTTTTACTGACGCTTCCACGTCATTGCTGGACATAGTTTGTACTAGCGATATTAACATTATTGGGAAATGTGTTGTTCGGAAGGATTTCTTGAAAGGTCTTCTTCATAAACTATCTTGTTTTGGTATTCGGGGTTCATTACTAATTTGGTTCGAAATTATCTTTGTAATCGTAAACATAGAGTTGTTATTAATGTTAAAAGTTTAAATTGGTCGAACTTTTAAGCTGGGGTTCCTCAAGGTTCCATATTGGGCCCCCTTTTGTTTCTTATTTTTATCAATGATATTGTAAAAGACATTAATGCTGCCATTAAGTTATTTGCAGATGACACTTCCTTGTACACCATCATCGATTCTCCAAGGATTAGTGTCGGAATTCTAAATAATGACTTAAATAAAATTCTTGAATGATCCAAGAGATGGTTGGTAAACTTTAATCCTGCTAAGACAGAAACAGTACTGATAAGTAGGAAAACTGTACCCCTTTTCATCCTCATCCTCTTACCATGAATAATATAACCATTACTGAAGTTAGGTCACATAAACATCTTGGTTTATTTCTGTCTGGAAATGGCTGTTGGATCGAACACATTAACTATTTAAAAGATATCACCGAATATTAACATTTTACGGAAATATAAGTTTACCTTAGATCGCAGGTGTCTTCAAAATTTGTATTTCACTCTTATTCGACCCATATTGGAGTATGGAAATATTATTTGGGACTGTCTTACTAAATCCCTGTCCCACTTATTAGAAGACCTCCAACTGGAAGAAGCATGCATATTAACTACTAGGCTCACTAGTAGAGTTAGCATTAACGTTGAAACGGGCTGGCTTCCTCTATAGCAAAGGCGTAATTCTTCCACTGGAGATGGATCTACATAAGTTGTAAAACTTGTTTCCAAATGCAATTTCAACAATTGTGTATTGCTTTACATCATACCGTAAATGAAAAAAAAAAAGTTTATATCAATCCGCCGAGCCTTTTTTACTAAGCTGAAGAAGAGAGAGAGATGTAAATATACAGAAATGTGTTTCATGGTTAAATAATAATGAAAAGATTTTAAATAAAATCAGACTTATGGGTTAATGTTTAGACGGATACTGTTTTAATACAGAAACTTCGTGTTACAGGCCAATGTCGGACAGGATGAAGATTTTGAAGCAGCCAAGGTGAAGGCTGCTAAGTTAGGAGCTGAAAAGGTGAGCTTTCCTGTTCCTTTAAATGTTATCACTTTTCATGAATGCTTTTCCTAAATTAATGACACATACAAGTCAGGTTTGTATTGATGGATATATTCATTGAAAAATTCAAAATAGCCCCCATTATATAATCTCTAAAACACTCATATTTCATACATTTGAATAGTCTCCAAAGGGAAACATACATTGGAATAGTCTCCAAAGGGAAACATACACTGGAATAGTCTCCAAAGGGAAACATACATTGGAATAGTCTCTAAAGGGAAACATACATTGGAATAGTCTCCAAAGGGAAACATACATTTGAATAGTCTCTAAAGGGAAACATACATTGGAATAGTCTCCAAAGGGAAACATACATTGGAATAGTCTCTAAAGGGAAACATACATTGGAATAGTCTCCAAAGGGAAACATACATTGGAATAGTCTCCAAAGGGAAACATACATTGGAATAGTCTCCAAAGGGAAACATACATTGGAATAGTCTCCAAAGGGAAACATACATTGGAATAGTCTCCAAAGGGAAACATACATTGGAATAGTCTCCAAAGGGAAACATACATTGGAATAGTCTCCAAAGGGAAACATACATTGGAATAGTCTCCAAAGGGAAACATACATTGGAATAGTCTCCAAAGGGAAACATACATTGGAATAGTCTCCAAAGGGAAACATACATTGGAATAGTCTCCAAAGGGAAACATACATTGGAATAGTCTCCAAAGGGAAACATACATTGGAATAGTCTCCAAAGGGAAACATACATTGGAATAGTCTCCAAAGGGAAACATACATTGGAATAGTCTCCAAAGGGAAACATACATTGGAATAGTCTCCAAAGGGAAACATACATTGGAATAGTCTCCAAAGGGAAACATACATTGGAATAGTCTCCAAAGGGAAACATACATTGGAATAGTCTCCAAAGGGAAACATACATTGGAATAGTCTCCAAAGGGAAACATACATTGGAATAGTCTCCAAAGGGAAACATACATTGGAATAGTCTCCAAAGGGAAACATACATTGGAATAGTCTCCAAAGGGAAACATACATTGGAATAGTCTCCAAAGGGAAACATACATTGGAATAGTCTCCAAAGGGAAACATACATTGGAATAGTCTCCAAAGGGAAACATACATTGGAATAGTCTCCAAAGGGAAACATACATTGGAATAGTCTCCAAAGGGAAACATACATTGGAATAGTCTCCAAAGGGAAACATACATTGGAATAGTCTCCAAAGGGAAACATACATTGGAATAGTCTCCAAAGGGAAACATACATTGGAATAGTCTCCAAAGGGAAACATACATTGGAATAGTCTCCAAAGGGAAACATACATTTATCGAATTCCGTTATACTTTTTGCAGACAATGTTTTGGGGATCCTACTCTTCTTCAGTCTCACTGAGGGGTGTTTTTTGTAGCTTTATGTTAGATCCATTTAGATTATTTTTGTTCAGCATGCATTTTTGGGAAAATGAATCAGAACCTTCCTCTTTACCTATCATTAAGTAAGACTAGACTAAGACTAGTGTAATAAACCTCAACCTAGAACATTATTGCAAGTATCACGTGATAAACCTGAACCTTGGTAGGTTTTGTTACAATTAGCAAGGGGCGATAATAATGTTAACAGCATAAATATATTAAAGAAGAAGTCGAGTAATGTGTTATTCCACTGGACATTCTGGTACACAAACGCACAATACAACATAGTGTTCTATCGTTATAGAGTTTTGTGGGATAACATGGTATTCTATTGGTTTCTATCGTTATATGGTGTTGTGATATAACACGGTGATATATCGTTATATAGTTTTGTAATATAACATGGTGTATTATCGTAATATTGTTATATGATATAACATGGTGTTCTATCGTTATATGGTGTTGTGATATAACACGGTGATATATCGTTATATAGTTTTGTAATATAACATGGTGATCTATCGTAATATTGTTATATGATATATTGTGATGTTCTATCGTAATATAATGTTGTCATATAACATGGTATTCTATCATTATATGGTGTTGTGATATAACACGGTGATATATCGTTATATAGTGTTGTAATATAACGTGGTGTTTTATCGTAATATAATGTTGTCATATAACATTGTATTCTATCATTATATAATTTGTTTTACATAAGATGGTGTTATAGCGGTATAAAATGTTGATATAACATGGTGTTCTATCGTTATATTGTTGTGTGATATGTAATATGGTATTCTATCGTTATATACAATGTAGTTCTATTTCATCGAAGTGTTTATGATTCTGGTGACATTTAAAGCGTACATCAATTAAAATTGGAAGAACAGAATCAACATATGAAATATTGTCGTTATTTATGACTGTATTATAAAAGATGACCGTCTGTCCATTTCCACGCTGTCATTTATAAACTACGATGCACTACTTACTAGAGTGCACATACATGTATTGTTCTGCATGGTAGGTACCAGATGGGAGTTAAAGGGGTTTATACTAAGTTAAGGATGATGTGTGGACTGCATTAATCAGGATCTCATCCTGCGTTAATTGGAGTAGTACACTGCTTACCAGTTGATGTAGCTAATCACGGACTAGTCTGGGGGTATAGTCTGAGTTAATCACGGACTAGTCTGGGGGGATAGTCTGAGTTAATCAGGGACTAGTCTGGGGGTATAGTCTTAGTTAATCAGGGACTAGTCTGGGGGGATAGTCTGAGTTAATCAGGGACTAGACTGGGGGTATAGTCTGAGTTAATCACGGACTAGTCTGGGGGGATAGTCTGAGTTAATCAGGGACTAGACTGGGGGTATAGTCTGAGTTAATCACGGACTAGTCTGGGGGTATGGTCTGAGTTAATCAGGGACTAGTCTGGGTGTATAGTCTGAGTTAATCACGGACTAGTCTGGGGGTATGGTCTGAGTTAATCAGGGACTAGTCTGGGGTATAGTCTGAGGTAATCACGGACTAGTCTGGGGGGATAGTCTGAGTTAATCAGGGACTAGACTGGGGGTATAGTCTGAGTTAATCACGGACAAGTCTGGGGGTATAGTCTGAGTTAATCACGGACTAGTCTGGGTGTATAGTCTGAGTTAATCAGGGACTAGACTGGGGGTATAGTCTGAGTTAATCACGGACAAGTCTGGGGGTATAGTCTGAGTTAACCAGGGACTAGTCTGGGGGTATAGTCTGAGTTAATCAGGTACTAGTCTTGGGGTTATAGTCTGAGGTATACAGGAAATAATGATGAGGGGCCTATTGCCTGAGTTAATCAGTGATTAGTCTGGAGGTATATTCTAAGTTAAAATTGCGTAACATCTTGTCAATGTCACATCAGATGGATCCAGTAATCGGATCAGGTAAGGGATGGAGAGGAATATGGTATATGGGTTCTGCTTTGAACAGATGGGCTATTTACGCGATTCATCGATTTTCAGACTGAAACTAGAGAGGGACAAGGCGTTAACTATTAGAACAAATACATGTCAGAACCACTGTTTGCGTTTCTACCATATCTATTTAGTCGGCAATGAGACGAACTAATTGATCTACTTCGGAAATTAACACCACTTCCTCACTTGTCGGTATAAATATTCCTGTCTGAGCTAATTATCAACAGAATCGATACGTAACCGTTGACGGGTTACTTGCCATATAAGTCAGCTTAACGTATATAGCGTGCCATTTCATTATTGTTATACCATGTGTTTGTTACGTATTTTAATTATACTTTTAGGTTAAAAAATGACAATAATTTTCACGAAATAATCAATCTCAATAACATTAAAAAAGAACTAATTAAGAATTACTAATTTAGTTTCAAACTTTCGAATATATTAAAGGGGGTAAATGATGTGGATGAAATGTCTTAATAATGTATATGTAAATATGCTTATAATAAGCTGCAGTTTCTGTTTTCTGGCACCGCATGTCTGTTGTAAATTAACCATATAATATAATAACCTGCGCTGGTCATTTTACCTCGTCAATAATTCATCCTAAAGAACTAGGTAAACAAGGAGACAAATTATCGCTCCTAAACCGTCATAAAACAAGGAAGCAATGCGCTCAATCAATTGCGATCTTGTGTAAACATAACCTCACTATAGCATGTAGTATTCATTTTCATTTCATTCATTATGTTTGAATCGCAAGTTATACATTCCATAATTACGTATAGGACTAATATGTCGATTGTGTCTATTCTACCACGTCAACTGTGATGGACGTGTATTACCCTGTATACCTTCTAACCCATGCTTGTTCATTATGTAAGGTATCCAAGATAATACAATTATTTATATTAGGCTGTTTCTTTCGAGCATGCAACATTTATCATGTGATGCCTTTTTCTTAGTTAAATATTGTATCATTTCTGACGCTGTTTTGCCTGTTTTAACGTACCTTGGAATGTTGTATTTGCCTAATTTATCTAGATATACGAGAAAGTATGAGAGCCATTGAAGATGCATTGTACCCTCTGTCTTAGCCCTATCCTTCAACCCGGACAAGATAAGATTTGTTTGTGGCTTGTGGAAGTCGACAACTTTGCACAACTCGCTTTGATGAAAATACCTGTATCTCCAATTGTGGGTCTGCAAACCCCATAAGCTTCATTTCGAGTCGCCATTTGTTATCTCAATTCGACAGATGATAAACTACAAACAATCCTGACGTTATGCTTTATTGTTGGTTGGTTCGTACGCAAGTTTCAAATATATACAAAATCCATGGTTTTACATGGGTTTTCACCAATGAGAAGTGCTGTTATATCGCTGATAATATACCACAAAAAAGTTGTAATATGAGTGGTTGTATGGTGCGTAATATGTCGCATTGTACAGTTGGTAGTGCACCGACCGGTCGAACGCTTTGATGTTCTACTCAGCTTGTCAACAGTAGAATATATTTATATCTGGGATTGGTAATACGATCTACACTCGGCAGTGTTTTCGTGGTATGGCACTATAAAGATCAGAACTACAATGCATCGTCCTGCACACACCTACTTCACCACTACACCCTCAATCACGTGATAAAGGGGATCACGTGGTAATACACGCTTAGGTACGGCTTCTCCCACACCCTCCTCACTCGAGTCCCTATATAGTCCCAATTATTCTGACGTTGTATCGACTTTTTTGTTATATCGGTCTGGCGTCGAATAACGTCAGAACTCCGGCCCTCTATAACATGCGGGAAATAATCGACCCGCGCCAGGGTCGCTCTTCAAACTGATATTTTAGATACAAATCGTCACTTTCACATTTCTTTTATATCTGGGATCAGTCTATACTCGGCAGTGTTTTCATGGTACGGCACTTTAAAATCAGAACCACAGCGTTATTGTCTTGAGATGAAATAGGCCATATGTACATGAGTTTCCATTTCATATGAGATTTATGAAAATTCGTGAAGAATTTCATAAATTTAATATGAATGAAAAAGAGTGTATGATCCTTTTTATCACATAATCAATATTTGTGGCATTTATTCGTGTAAAACAACAATTTTCATGAAACCTTGAAATGTAAAAAGCTGTCATTTTGACGTCATGTACTTGTCCTAGGCGTGACGTCACAATTGAAACTTGCAACCAATCACAATGCTGATAGGTCATATTACATGGGTTAATATTCACTGGAAAACAGTACATTATATGATAAGTAATGTTCTGTTTGTTTTAGGACGAACAATGATCAAATACCAATGTGTGACGAATTTTCTCACATCTTTCACTAAATTGTCCCCTGTTTGACCTGTTCAAGATTTCCGTGTAATCTCCTTGAGTATGATTCTCTGTCAACCCTATGGTATGATTTCACTGTCAACCCCTAGGGTATGATTTCTATGTCAACCCCTAGGGTATGATTTCTCTGTCAACCCCAAGGGTATGATTTTTCTGTCGCCCCTAGAGTATGATTTCACTGTCAACTCCTAGAGTATGATTTCACTGTCAACTCCTATGGTATAATTTCTCTGTCAACCCTATGGTATGATTTCACTGTCAACCCCAAGGGTATGATTTTTCTGTCGCCCCTAGAGTATGATTTCACTGTCAACTCCTTGAGTATGATTTCTCTGTCAACCCTATGGTATGATTTTCTCTGTCAACTCCTATGGTATGATTTCTATGTCAACCCCTATGGTATGATTTCACTGTCAACCCCTATGGTATGATTTCTATGTCAACCCCTATGGTATGATTTCACTGTCAACTCCTATGGTATGATTTCTATGTCAACCCCTATGGTATGACTTCTCTGTCAACCCCTATGGTATGATTTCACTGTCAACTCCTATGGTATGATTTCTATGTCAACCCCTATGGTATGATTTCTCTGTCAACCCCTATCTTATGATTTCTCTGTCAACCCCTATGGTATGATTTCTCTGTCAACCCCTATGTTATGATTTCTCTGTCAACCCTATCTTATGATTTCTCTGTCAACCCCTATCTTATGATTTCTCTGTCAACCCCTATGGTATGATTTCTCTGTCAACCCCTATCTTATGATTTCTCTGTCAACCCCTATGTTATGATTTCTCTGTCAACCCCTATGTTATGATTTCTCTGTCAACCCCTATGGTATGATTTCTCTGTCAACCACTTTGGTATGAGTTCTCTGTCAACCTCTCTCTTATGATTTCTCTGTCAACTCCTATGTTATGATTTCTCTGTCAACCCCTATGGTATGATTTCTCTGTCAACCCCTATGTTATGATTTCTCTGTCAACCCCTATGGTATGATTTCTCTGTCAACCCCTATCTTATGATTTCTCTGTCAACCCCTATGTTATGATTTCTCTGTCAACCCCTATCTTATGATTTCTCTGTCAACCCCTAT